CAAGAAAAATAGAAAATCCACGTCCATTGCAAAAACGAACATACTGTGTAACTCTTGGCCTGGCAGAAAAGAGGCAGCCAGTCCTCTGACATAAGTCTTAATTATCTAAGTGTCAGCCTGGAACACCTATGTAGCTACAAGCAAACTAAGCCCGGCTCCCCCTTGAATGCTGTTGACCTTTATCTAACTCTAAGCAGGTGCTGACTTTAGTTAAGGAGGTTTCTGTGCAGAGGGTTAGCCAATAAATCAATTTAATTGAACCTTCATGTGTGGATCTAATCTGTTCGCCTGACACTTAGATAATTAAGACTTATGTCAGAGGACTGGCTGCCTCTTTTCTGCCAGGCCAAGAGTTACACAGTATGTTCGTTTTTGCAATGGACGTGGATTTTCTATTTTTCTTGCTTTTCTTGTAGGGGGAGCTTTAGGTATTTTCTTTATTTTTAAAAAAAAACTATATTTTAATCCTATTGTAAACTACAGTCTGAATGAAAGTGGGAGAAAGCTACACTGAGTCACCTGCAGAGTCTTGCCTAGGACTTCACCAGATGGCTGTTTGCTCACTGCAGGGTAGGAGGAGGAGAACTGGAGCCCCCAAAAAGTGGAGACCCAGAGCAGGCAAAGTTCTCGATTCCAAAGACCCATTTCTGATCTTGGGTGTTTCTCTAGCATCCTCCCTGCTCCTTGCAAAACATTTATGCTTCCTGGGTTGAGTGCTCCATCTGTGGCGGTTCTGGAAGAGCTGTCTAGGATCAGATCCACTCCATGTGAAGGGTGTCCTTGAATCACCGGGGGGAGGCTTTGATGCATTGTTGGTGGTTCCATGATGGTGCTCTCAATCAGGATCCCCCTTCCTTGCTGGTCGCTGTGGCTGCTCTATGGAAAAAGATGAGGCCTCTGTCTTATTAGCGGGAAAATCTGCAGAATCAAACAAATTGCGCAACAGTGTTTAGTTGTGATGGCTGTAGCGAGCCTTACAGGATAAACAAAATAAGGTATATTATTTTTCATGTTATAAGGCAAATATATGTAGCTTTTTGTACTTCAGTTTTTCTATGCATGTCATTGTTCTGTGAAAGTTTGGTCTGTGCCTGTAAATAAACCAGCCTAGTGAAGGGAGGCCTTTCCCCTTCCTCTGATGGATCAAAGATGCCTTCCCTGCTTCCCTATTTTGCTCCGGGGAGAGCCTCTGCCTTCGTCTCTTGGGGTTCCTCTTCCACGTAATGCGCAGGAATAAGTTGCTCTTGAGCTGATCAGGCCTACTTAACGTTACCCTCTTGCCATTCAGTGAGCCCCTCCGATGTCTTCTCTCAGGATGGGACTGGACAATTGATTTTATCCAAGATGTTTCCTCCCATTGAGTCTATTTATACCCTCTCCTCCTCCTGGCCTTTGGGGGAGCAGGTCTCGCTTGGCGCTTCCTCGGGGCTCCTTATTGTTACCAAAGAAGAAAAAACAATGCCTTTTTCTCTCCCCCCCCAATCCAGGATGTGAATGGGCAGGCCAAGGAGCCTTTGGGGCCCCGACTTTGCCACCTCAAGAAAGGGCCCAATGGCTACGGGTTCAACCTGCACAGCGAGAAGTCCAGGCCTGGCCAGTTCATCCGCTCAGTGGATCCAGATTCCCCAGCATTCACGGCGGGTCTCCGGCCACAAGACAGACTTGTGGAGGTAATGAGGGGATCCGGGAAGCAGGAGAAGGATCCTGCCTCTTGGAGGAGAATCCACCCGACGTTACTGCCCCTCCGAGGTGGCAAGATGTTTTATTTCTCCCTCTGTTTACGCAACATCATCCTCAGCAAGTGGAAGGAAGGCAAAGGAGGCCAAGGCCAGAGTTGGCCTCAGGGGAAACCTTTGGCTTTACGGGTTTCAGCATTTTGTTTCTTTATCAAATTTCCACACAGCCCATCTCACCTCAGGGACTCTGGGCGGTTTAGAAGAAAAACATACAGTGGTATAAAAAGCATAATTAAAATACAAACACAAACACAGCATGAAGAACAAGGTTGCAATGAGAATGTTCAATAGTTAAAAAAGAGGCAGAGGGAAGGCCCTCCAGTCTTTGAGAGAGGACCCCAAGCAGGAGAGCCTGGGCTGGGGCCGCCTTCCCTGGGGGGCCCTGGGCGCCCTTTGAGCTGCCCGGTTCGCTTGTGGAGGTAAGCAAACGGGTGCAAAATGCCTGCTAGGCAAACCCATTCTTTGCTGTGGCACAATTTTGCCAAAAAACAGAAGTTTCAGGTAGTCCTCTACTTATGACCATAATTGAGCCCCAAATTTCCACCGCTAAGCAAGACAGCTGTTAAGTGACTTATGCCTCATTTTATTACCTTTATTACTACAGTTGTTAAGCAAGTCACTGCAGTTGTTAAAGAAGTCTGGATTCCCTCGTTGACTTTGTTTGTCAGAAGCTGGTTGGGGAGGTTAGAAACGGGAGTCGCTGCAACTGTCATAAATGCCCACCTTTGCCAAGCACCCGGACCTTGATCACATGACACATGTGGGGACGCTGCAGTGGCTGTAAGCATGAAGAACGGCCACGTCACTTTTTTCAGTGTCATAGAGTGGTCACTTCAAACAGTTGTGAAATGAATGGTTGTAAGTCAAGGACTCTAGTAAACTATGGTCACCTGATTGTGTGTGTGTGTGTGGGGGGCTCCATTGCCGATTGCCTAAAGTGCAGTCATGTCACTCTGGGTGAGGAAGGGGGAGCGACCGTCAGAACTTTGGAACCGGGTCAGGTAAGGAAACATCTGAAAGCGAACCACAAGACACTCAGAGAGCCCCAAGAGCCCTCAGTTCATTCCTGAGCGGCAGAGACCCTCTTCCATTTGCGCCCTTCTCTGGGGCGATCCTTGCGGGGCATCCCAGAAAAGGCTCTGTCGGACTCTTTCCTGGTCTCCGAGCGGACTTCTGCATGGGCTTTGGAGAGGGAAAAGAAAGAGAAGTCCTGCTTTCCTGCCGCTCAATACCTCCCCCATCGCCTCTGATAATTAATTTAGCATGCCTGGCGCATTTCCCAGGCATATAAACGGACTTGGTGACCTGTGGAGTCGCCACCCGATCCAGGCGCCTCCTGCTCTTCGGGACTGGCATCAATGTTTGATGGGCTCCTCCTCCCTTTGGGAGCGTTTGGCTGGGGCGGGGGGGGGGGGGGGGGGGGGGTGCAGCTGAGAAATTTGGTCAGCCAATACTGCAATTTGCTGGGGAGGGGTGGCTTTGTCTTATTTGCTCTTTTGGCCCCTTTGAGCTCCCTTCAGCTCCCTGCAGCCCCCACCAGGCCACCTGTTCAAACACTGCAAGCAGAAGGTTGTCGGAAGGGGAGAAGGGTTGGCAGCATCTCCAGGGCTACGTCTGGAGAGCTCTCTGGGCACCTGCAGAGGTCCTGCCCCCCCTTCCCCACTGATTACTTAAAGGGGAGGAAGGGATCCCGGGCAGCCGTTAGAGGCTGACTGGGAGGGTTGGCCAGGAGAAAGAAAGTTTGCTGGAATCAGCACAATAAGCAATGAATCTTGTGGAGATTTGAAACTCAAGGACCTGTGTTCCCATCAACTCCCAAAGAAGAGGTAGTGGGCATTCAACAGGTGCAGCCTTGCCCGGGGATGGAGACTGCAGGAACTGCTCGGCTTCCTTTAACAACTCTTCCGTCCTCTATTCCCCCCTCACAGCATGTTACGTATTATACCTTATTCAGCATTTGCTGTTTTTGATCATGTGCATCGTGTGGTAATACCAATGTCAGCCCTGTGAGGTAGACCAGATCCGTAAACACACCCCGTGGGATGGGCAGAACTCAACTTGATTGAGTGTGGCTAGAATACTAGAGCCTTGCTGGCCTGATTCTGCTTCTCCTCCTCCCACCATACCTTCTCTGGTGTGGCTGCCCTCTTTTGGTTCTGCAGGGATTGGGGCCCTGGTGCAAAGCCCCTGGGTGCCCTCATGTGCATTTCTTACCAGCTTCTTCCTTTTTGGTTTGGCTGCTCTGCAGGTCAATGGGATCAATGTGGAAGGCATGAAGCATTCAGAAGTTGTGGCCCACATCAAGTCTAAGGAAAACGAAACAAGGTTGCTGGTAGTGGACCCTGCCACAGATGAGCATTTCAAGAAACTTGGTGTTGCCCCTGCTGAGGAACACATTCGAGGTGAGGAATTCCACCAGGAAAGGAGCAGAGCCTGCTCACGAGAAAGGCCACTCGGCTCTCTTGTAGATTAATCTTGGTTGACCTCCACCGCCAAATCTATTGCTCAGCCCCAAAAAAGTGAGAAATGAAATTGCAAGGTATAATCCAATGCTTTGAAAACTTGGCAATTTTAAGATGTGTGGAAGGGCAGAGCACCTGATCCTTTCCATGGACGGAAGTGGAACCAAATTTTCCGCAAAGTCTCTTGGCAGTCGCAAGTGAAGTGAACAGATTTTGAAAGCATCCGTGGCCAATTCTCTTAAGCTACAATAGGCAACCTACCCATCTGACTGGGGAAAGAGAGGGGTGGGTGGGTGAGGTATCAAACAGGCCTTAAAAAAGAAAGGGAACTTGGTATGATTATGACTTTTTTGACCTCCCCCTTGGGCAGATGTCTCTGCTGCCCAACTAGGAGGACAAAACGTCAATCTTTCCATTTTGAGAGTTGGCCTGGCGGCAACAGGCCCAGAAACCACTTTCCTTCCCCACACTTAGAAGTGTCTCAGGAGGCCTCTGGCTGACCCTGCCACTGCCTGGGGCTGCAGTGGGTGTCCAGTTGTCCTCAGCAGGTTGGACTTGAAAGACCCAGGTCTCAAACAGAGCAAGGCCTGGATCCCAGCTGCTGGAGAGACTCCCTGCTCTTCTTGCCCGGGGTGCGGTGGAGGAGACCATGCCTTCCACCCAGCCTACATAGTTCCACCGCCAGCCCCCCTCCCTCCCCTTAGCCAGGCTGAATGGAGCGCTCTGTGTTCTTAGCACAGCTGTTTCCTATTGAAGCTGCCTGCCCTCTTTTCTTCTCTGGCTCTCAGTGGAAAGAAAGACTCCAAAAGGACAACTTGGAATAATTTTGAGATTTTTGCAGTGGGGGGAGGGGAGGGAGAGAAGCGGCTGGTGTCAGATGTTGAGCTCAGGAACAACCAAGAGACGAAGCGGAGATACTTTCTTCTTGGCTCCACATAGAAGGAGCCGCCCCCCCCCCCCAGTTTTGTTTGCAAGCAGCAGCAGCGCCAAAACCAGGCGCTAATGCCCAGACTGGCTTTCCAAATGCCGCAGGCCAGGTTCAAATATTGCCCTTCTTTCTTCTGGGCAAGGGACCACCGGGGGGG